GGTCACTTTGGTCTAGGTAGCCAGAGAGGGATCACTTTGACACAGTTAGCCATAAACAGATCACGTTGATGCAGTTGGCCAGAGAGGGATCACTTTGACGCAGTTGGCCAAAGAGGGATCAATTTGGTACTGTTGGTCATAGATTTCTTTGACATAATTAGCCAGAGAGAGATCACTTTGACAAAGTTGGCCAGAAAAGGATCACTTTGACACAGTTGGCCATAGAAGGATCACTTTGATGCAGTTGGCCAGAGAGGGATCACTTTGGTGCAGTTGGCCAGAGAAGGATTACTTTGAGACAGCTGGCCAGAGAGGGGTCACTTTGGTCCAGTTGGCCAGAGAGGCATCACTTTAACACAGTTAGCCATAAAGGGATCACTTTGACACAGTTGGCCAAAGAGGGATTACTTTGGTGCTGTTGGTCATAGATTTCTTTGAATAGTTGGCCAGAGAGAGATCACTTTGACAAAGTTGGCCAGAAAGGGATCACTTTGACACAGTTGGCCATAGAAGGATCACTTTGATGCAGTTGGCCAGTGAGCGATCACTTTGATGCAGTTGGCCAGAGAGAGGGATCACTTTGGTGCAGTTGGCCAGAGAAGGATTACTTTGAAACAGCTGGCCAGAGAGGGGTTACTTTGGTCCAGTTTGCCATAAAGGGATCACTTTAACACAGTTGGCCAAAGAGGGATTACTTTGATGCTGTTGGTCATAGATTTCTTTGACAAAGTTGGCCAGAGAGGGAAACACTTTGACACAGTTGGCCAGAGAAGGATCACTTTGGTGCAGTAGGCCAGAGAGGGATCACTTTGACATAGTTGACTAGAAAGGGGTCATTTTGACATAGTTGGCCAGAGAAGGATCACTTTGACACAGTTGGCCAGAAAGGGATCACTTTGACACAGTTGGCCAGTTCGAACATGTATTGCTATATATGGGAACCAAGAATCCCTGTTTCTATGCAAAAGTTTGCTAGAAATATGTAAAGGTATATAGCAATGTGCAATGGGTTCATTCAGAATTTTCTTTGGATATAACAACACTCTTCCTGCACAGAGCTACATACCTGCTCTCTTTTAGGGCTCAGAGACCTTTACAATATGTAGAAAGGGAGTGTTTACATGCGCAGGAGGCACAGGGGTGCTATACAGCCATGATCAACAGAGATGGACTGCTTTGGTGCAGCTTACCAGAGAGGGAACACTTTGGCACAGTTGGCCAGAGAGGGATCACTTTGGCACAGTTGGCCAGAGAAGGATCGTTTTGACGCAGTTGATCAGAGAGGCATCATTTTGATGTAGTTGACAAGAGAGGGATCACTTTGACACAGTTGGCCAGAGAGGGATCACCTTGGTGCAGTAGGCCAGAGAGGGATCACTTTAACATAGTTGACAAGAGATGGATCACTATGACACAGTTGGCCAGAGAGGAATCACTTTGACACAGTTGGCCAGAGAGGGATCACTGACACAGTTAGCCAGAGAGGAATCACTTTGACACAGTTGGCCAGAGAGGAATCACTTTGACACAGTTGGCCAGAGAGGAATCACTTTGACACAGTTGGCCAAAGAATCACAATAATGTAGTAGGCCAGAGAGGAATCACTTTAACATAGTTGATCAGAGAAGGATCACTTTAAACACAGTTGGCCAGAGAGGAATCACTTTGCCACAGTTGGCAAAGAGGGATCACTTTGACACCTTTAGCCAGAGAGGAATCACTTTGACACAGTTGGCTAAAGAGGAATTACTTTGACACAGTTGGCCAGAGAGGGATCACAATAATGTAGTTGGCCAGAGAGGAATCACTTAAACATAGTTGACCAGAGAAGGATCACTTTTACACAGTTGGCCAAAGAGGGATCACTCTGACACAGTTGGCCAAAGAGGAATCACTTTGACACAGTTGGCCTTAGAGGAATGACTTGGACACAGTTGGCCAGAGAGGGATCACATTGATGCAGTAGACCAAAGAGGGATCACTTTGATGCAGTTGGCCAGAGAAGATTCCCTTTGACGAGGTTGGCCAGCTTGAACATGTATTGCAATATATGGGAACTAAGAATCCCTGTTTTTATGCAAACGTTTGAATTACAGTATGTAAGGTCATATAGCAGTGGAGTGAGCAAAAGCTCAGCATGTCGCTTCTAAATGCAACAGTTACATGCAAGGTGTACATTGACATTGGACCAGAAGGCTAGCTAGAATCCAGTTATACGCTCAATTTACACAGTGTACGGCGGTTGGAGGACCACCGTAAGGTTTGCTCTCTGCCTTTTCCCAGGGCATAGATGACCACGACACAACAAGGGTACTCCATGTGCAGGGCGAGTGACCCCATCCATGGTGCTTAGCAAAACCCAGATAAACCTGGTGGGCTTAAAGCCACAAGCAATAGTCAACATCAACCAGGTCACATGCAGGCCTGCATGGAATACCTGGGCCCCCCATATTTACACATGCAATTTTTGTTCAGGCCTCCGTGTTCCTGTGAATGAGCTCATAGTGCTATTCTCTGCTATTCAGGCTGCAAGGGTCCCTACAACCTGGCCTTCGTTTTTTTCCCAAAACTAATTATCTCTAATTATGACCGATGCATGCAAAGCCTTTTAACCACCTCCTGTCCGGCCGTTGTATATAAACAGGAGTTGGATATGATCCTGGTCAAGGATAATCCCTCCCTAAAGGGGACCTCTACTGATGTATTTTATGCCTATATGTACATTACGCATCTGGTGAGTGCATATTTCTACCACATTGTTTTGGAGCACCGATACTGGATTTTGTTATCGTTCCTCACCTAGATCTACACAGACTGTCACTTTTTGATTGCTTCATTTGGCATACTTGTACTTTATGGACAAATATATTTATATGCTGACTATTTTTTAGCGCTGCACTTATTTATTTATTTCAAGTTTCTGATAAGGTTTTTGTATTGGTTTACCTTTAGTGCCATAGCTGCTAACCAGGGAGCGCTCACTTTTTATTCTATTTTTCTACTATTTTTTTCCTACTGACACCATCACTGGGGCACTATTTCTCGCATTTACACCATCACTGGGGCACTATTTCTCCCACTGACACCATCGCTGGGGCACTATTCCTCCTGGTAAGACCAATGATGGGGCACTATTCCTCCTGGTAAGACCAATGATGGAGCACTATTCCTCCTGGTAAGACCAATGATGGGGCACTATTCCTCCCTGGTAAGATCAATGATGGGGCACTATTCCTCCTGTTAAAACCAATGATGGAGCACTATTCCTCCTGGTAAGACCAATGATGGGGCACTATTCCTCCTGGTAAGACCAATGATGGGGCACTATTCCTCCTGGTAAGACCAATGATGGAGCACTATTCCTCCTGGTAAGACCAATGATGGGGTACTATTCCTCCTGGTAAGATCAATGATGGGGCACTATTTCTCCTGTTAAAACCAATGATGAGTCAAGGTTTACATATCTCCCTTTATGATCTCTTTGTTCACACTTATGTTTCTTTCATGTCTCTCTCCACCATGATTCATGATGCCTTCTGTATATGCTCATTCCTTGCTGTGGCCTGATGGAATGTGTCATGGTACCAGGTCAAAGAAGAGGGGGCACGCTAAACTAAAGCTGGCCATACATTATACAATGTTCTTGTACAATTTTCCTTGAGATTTACCAAAACCATATAATATGAGGTCACACCTAATCACTTTCAGTTTGTATGCAATCAGGCCGGCCCTTGTACTACATGAAGGTAAATTTAAAGGAAATTGAATAAGAAAATTGTATAAAGTATGGCCAGCCTTAGTAGTGGACACAACCACACAGAATCACGTATGAACACAGTAGCCAGTATTATAGCATATAAAATATTCTTTCCGCAGCCCACACATTATCTTTGTCATATTAAAGTTGAACTCCAGGTATGGATTTTCTTGCATAGTTACATTAGTCCAGCTTGGACCAATGTTCTGTAAGCATGGGTAGTGCTGCCACCGATGGTACTGCTGGTAGTATTGGGTCCTCTGCTCTTTCGCTTGCACTAGGTGGAACCTAACTCCTGCTGACACCACCAGAATACCTTGACTGGGACCTCCCGGCAGTCACACCAGAAGAGCACATACTGACTGTGATAAAGTAAAACAGGTCGTATTGGCAGAACTGAAGTGGTAAGGCAATACAGACGTTCAAAAAGTTCAAAGTTAACACACGAGGAGACCAACAATGCAATAACAATACAGTGTAGTTAACTCAAGCACCTTTAAAGTGAGGCTAATTATGGACTGCAGTACCAAGAGTGTAAGCAATAGCTCCCTGACTAGGAGATCACGCCCCAAATGATTTCAGTTGGTAAACAAGGGGACGACAGGTTAGTTCACTTGAGAGCTTCTAGTCGGGAGAGACTAGGCTTAGACCTGAAAGTCTGTTGAATATCCTGCACACCAGTGCTACTACCAGACAGACCCTTGGGTCTGAATAGTCCCTGGATATAAGCTTCTGCCGGCTCAGTTGGGGCCCTTTAACTTTGGTGCGCAAAACAGGGTGATGTTGCTTTAAGATACAACGTCAATGGGGAAGTTCACTTTAATATGTGAAGTTAATGGGGAAGTTTCTCTTTAAGATGTGAAGTTAATGGGGAAGTTCTCTTTAAGAGGTGTTAAGTTGTTTAAGCAAAGGTAAATGCTGTTGAAGCCAGCAGTCTACTAAGCAGGAAGAGAAATGATAATCCAGTTCAGCGGTCTGGGATCAGTGGCAGCTTTTGTGTAAAAGGAGGCAACTTGCATCAATAGACAGCAGCAATGTATTTAGCTCTGATCAAGGACAGTGTCAGGAAGGGACCATAGCCCAGGTAGGCCTATGTAGCAATAAGAACTTACTGTACTGCCTAGCAGTGAAGTGTGGGTCACCCCCGTGCAGAGCGGACTGACAACTCATGGGGCCCCCCGGGCAATAGGGGATGATGGGGCTCCTGTGTCCTTGCCCAAACTCAAAAAAGTCTATGAAAAAGGTACCAGGGGCATCTCATGGGGCCCCCTACTGACCCCGGGCCCTCGGGCAGTGCCCGAGTTTCCAAATGGTCAGTCCGCCCCTGCCCACGTGATTTCAGTTGGCTAACAATAGGCATGACAGGTTAGTTGACTTGAGGGCTCCTAGTCAGGAGAGTCTAGGTCTAGGCCTAAAAGTCTGTTGAATATCCTGCACATCAGTGCTACTACCAGACAGACCCCTGGGTCTGAACAGTCCTTGGATATAGGCTTCTGTTGGCTTAGTTGGGGCCCTTTAATGTTGGTGAGAAAAACAGGGTGATGTTGCTTTAACATACAACGTCAATTGGGAAGTTCATTTCAAGATGTGAACTCAATGGGGAAGTTCCCTTTAAGATGTGAAGTTAATTGGGAAGTTTCCTTTAAGAGGTGAAGTTGATGAGGAGGTTCTATAAAGAAGGGTTGGATTTAGTCAGCAGGAGTGCCCCTTTAAGTTGGCTAATCAAAGGTAAATGCTATTGAAGCCAGCAGTCTACTAAGCAGGAAGAGAAATGGTAATCCAGTTCAGCAGTCTGGCCTCAGTGGCAGCTTTTGTGTAAAAGGAGGCAGCTTGCAGCAATAGACAGCAGCAATGTATTTAGCTCTGATCAAGGACAGTGTCAGGAAGTGACCATAGCCCAGGTAGGCCTATGTAGCAATAAGAACTAACTGTACTGCCTAGCAGTGAAGTGTGGGTCACCCCACGTGATTTCAGTTGGCTAACAATAGGGGTGACAGGTTAGTTCACTTGAGGGCTCCTAGTCGGGAGAGTCTAGTCCTTGACCTAAAAGTCTGTTGAATATCCTGCATACCAGTGCCGCTACCAGACAGACCCTTGGGTCTGAACAGTCCTTGGATATAGGCTTCTGTCGGCTTAGTTGGGGCCCTTTAAGTTGGCACGCAAACAAGGTGATGTTTCTTGAAGATATCAATGGGGAAGTTCACTTCAGGGGTCTAATAGACCAATCAGAAAATAGTTTTCATCTCTTTAGTGCAGTCAAAGAAAAGAATATTGTATGGTAAGTCACTAAAAAAGAAATACTCTGTGGTTGGGCTCCACATTCTTCCAACATTACAGGCAGGGGCGTATTTACCATGAGGCAAACAAGGTGTTTGCCTAGGGTGGCATTTTTAAGGGCGGTGGTGGAGCTGCCCCCCCCCCTTCTGCTGACAACCACTCAGCTGTCACTTGTCCTCCACTCCTCTCCCCCTGGGTGACCAGTGATTATTTTCCCCACATGCTCCAGCTCCGCCCCACCTCCCTCTGGGTCTGCCTGCAGCAAGATCCCCAAGGAGCCGGAGAGCAGACATCCGGGCACAGCACAGCTCCTAGGACAGGAGTGTAAGAAGAGGCTGTGGCTGGAGGAGTGGATCCTGGCAGCTCATTCTTCTCTGTGACTGCCAGTTGAGAGGAACAATCATAGAACATATCTCTCCCTCTCTCACTTCCTTTCTATCTCTCTCTCCCTCTTTCTTTCTTTCTTTCTTTCTTTCTTTCTTTCTTTCTTTCTCTTTCTCTCGCTCTCCCCTCTCTCTCTTTCTTTCTTTCTTTCTTTCTTTCTCTTTCTCTCGCTCTCCCCCTCTCTCTCTTTCTTTCTTTCTTTCTTTCTCTCTCTCTGTCTCTCTGTCTTTCTTTCTCTCTCCCCCCTCTCTCCCTCTTCTCTCTCTCCCTCTCTCTCTCCTCTCTCTCTCTCTCTCTCTCTCTCCCTCTCTCTCCCTCTCTCTCTCCCTCTCTCTCTCTCTCTCTCTCTCTCTCTTTCTTTCTCTCTTTCTCTCTCTCTCTCTTTCTCTCTCTCTCTCTTTTCTTTCTTTCTTTCTTTCTCTTTCTTCTCTTCTTTCTTCTTTCTTTCTTTCCTTCCTTCCTTCCTTCCTTCCTTCCTTTCCTTCTGTCAGGAATGGATTCAGCACTGGTGGTGGGACTCTCCTGCCGTGTGGGCTGCAGTACCAGAGCTGACCAGCGGGTGCTCTCAGCACTGGTGGTGGGACTCTCCTGCCATGTGGGCTGCAGTACCAGAGCTGACCAGCGGGTGCTCTCAGCACTGGTGGTGGGACTCTCCTGTCGTGTGGGCTGCAGTACCAGAGCTGACCAGCGGGTGCTCTTAGCAGCCAGAAGCTCACAATCAGCCAAACCTGGGGCTGATTACAGAAAGGTGTATATAAGGCATGACCAGGCCTGTGCTCGGGGCCTTGGTGTATGTTTCCCCATGTGCCCCTGTATCCTGTTCCTAGTTCCTGTGAGAAGATACCTTGTTGCCGACCCTGCCTGATCCTGATTCCTGTTGACCGTCTCCTGTTCTGACTACTGGCTCATCCCTGACCATCCTTCTGCCTGATCCTCTGTACTGCGCTGTCCGTGAGTTACTGAACCCGGCTTGTGACCTTGACCATTCTCTGCCTGCTCCTTTGATACCTTGCTGCCCGCATGTTGCTGACTTGGCCCGTCTGACCACGCTAACTACTCTGCCATCCATCCATCCTGCACGGATCCAGCCGTACCTGCACATACCTCTGGCGGATCCCTCTATCACTAGCAGGTGTACTCGGGGGCCGCGACCTGGTTCCTGTCTGCTCCAAGTCCATCCCCACCATCAGGGGCCCTGGTGAATAGCAGACTGGGACTTAGACTCCGCGCCCTGGGGAATCCTGCCCTGAGGACCGCTAGAGGTACCACCAGGCAGTCGTTACAGAACCCTACGGCCGGCCTGACCATTCCACCTCTCCAGCCCTGACTACGCCTGTGTTCCTGCACCTCCTAAGATTAGTGGAAGGTTAGTTTGTTCACTGTGCGTTTATATATATATATATATATATATATATATATATATATATATATATCTGGGTGGCTAATAACCTGTATTATACTATACCTGAAACCTGCGTTTCCCTGTGTCAGTCCGCACCTTTCTGGTCATTCCTTGATTCCTGACACCTTCCTTTCTCCTTTCTCTCTCTTTTTTTCCTTTCTCTTTTCTCTCTCTCTTTTTTTCCTTTCTCTTTTCTCTTTCTCTTTTTTTCCTTTCTCTTTTCTCTCTCTTTTTTTTCCTTTCTCTTTTCTCTCTCTTTTTTTTTTAGTCTTTCTCTCTTTTTTTAGTCTTTCTCTCTTTTTTCTTGCTCTCTTTTTTTCTCTATTTTTTTTCTTGCTCTCTCTTTTTCTGTCTCTTTTTCCCCTCTCTCTTTCTCTCTTTTTTCCCTCACTCTTTTTATTCCTCTCATTTGGGGGGGCACCCAATTTTTGTGTTGCTTAGGGCAGCACAAAAGCAAAATACACCACTGATTACAGGGGATCATTTTCCTCCATAACAAACATAAACACCATTCAATGCAAAGAACAGACCAAGATTACAATGGTGCATTTTAATAAGACTGTGGGTACAGGGTGCCCAGTGTAGTTCCCAAAATTGAATGCTAAATATCGGCATAGTTAGGATTGGAAGCCCTGTAGTAAAGAGTAGGCAGTGGCGGTGCCTAGGAAAACGATGGAGGTCATCAGAGCCCTGCCTCTGCCAGTGTGGGGCATCATGGGTAGAGGGCTGTCTATATACAGTCTGGTGGGAGTCCGCCTGGGGTCGCTTGGTTATGGGAAGCAGTGCAAGGAACAGGGTAGCAAAGTAATCTTGGAGGATCTAGCTTATGAGAGGAAGCTAGGTCTCCTGGAAGGAAGGAGAGGTACAGGAATTATGGGTCTATTCCCATACTTTGGATTTGGACTGCCTAAGCCCCTTAAAGGTATGGACTGCTCCTTGACTTGGGTCTCTGACCTACTGTTATCTGTTTGCAACCAAGGAATGTACTGTCACCATCTGGGATGACTAAAAGCCACTTCTGTCAACAATAGTTCACTGTCAACCACCCTGGACACATTGGCCCCCCTCCCTACACACAGAATTAGGCCCCAACTGCTACAGCCCTGGCAAACAGACAATACCAGATGCCTCAAAAAAACGTAGCCGTGCTCTTGAGTGTTTATGGCGTAAGACTAAGACCCAGCAAGACTTCGACCAATATAAATCTGCCCTTCTAAAATACAATTCTTCTCTCCACACTGCCAAACAGACCTATTTCATCACTCTCAATATCACCCTCTCACGCAATCCCCGTCAACTGTTCTACCTTTAACTCTCTACTTCGTCCTTCTCTACCTCCACCCACTAACTCACTCACTGCCCAGGAGATTGCTAATCACTTCAAAAAGAAGATTGATACAATTCTTGAAGAGATCTCCACTTTACAGATATCTCCCTCACCCTACACTCCTTGTCCACTTGCACAATCTATGCTTCCCTTGTTTAACCCAGAGGAGGCTGGTAAACTGTTTTCTAAAGCCCACCACTAACCACCTGCCCCCTGAACCCTATTGCCTCTCAAATACTACGGTCACCCTCTGCCTCTATCCTTCATTCTTTAACTCATATCTTCAATCTCTCCCTTTCTACTGGCATCTTCCCCAACTCTCTAAAACATGTGCTAGTCACCCCCCCATACTTAAAAAAACCTCACTGAACCCCGCCAATCTTGGCAACCTAAGACCCATCTCCTTACTCTCTTTTGCCTCCAAACTCCTTGAAACGTCTAGTCTACAACCGGCTGAGCTGCCACCTTACTGAAAATAACCTTCTCGATCCCCTTCAGCCCACAACACTCCACATAAACTGTTCTCCTAAAACTCACAAATGACTTACTAATCGCTAAAACCAATGGTCACTATTCCGTACTCTTGCTCTTGGACCTCTCCGCTGCCTTTGACACAGTTGACCACCCCCTCCTCTTCAAAAAACTCTATTTACTTGGTCTCCGTGACTATACTGTTCGTTGGTTTGAATCTTACCTATCTCACCACACCTGCGGTGTCACTTACAACTCTACTTCCTCCTCTCCTACTCCTCTTACTGTCGGGGTTCCCCAAGATTCTGTCCTTGGACCTCTCCTACTCTCAATCTACATTTCTTCCTTGGGTCAGCTGATAAGCTTCCCACGGTTTCCAATACCATTTCTATGCTGATGACACACAAATCTATATCTTTCCTCCTCAGCTCACCCCGTCCATTTCCACACATATCACCGATTTACTAACAGACATATCAGACTGGATGTTACACCACTTCGTAAAACTCAATCTATCCAAAACTGAGCTCATAATATTTCCTCCCCCACGTGCCTCTTCCCCTGATTTCTCGGTCAGGATCAATAGCACCACTATCAACCCATCCCTGCATGCCAGGGTGATAGCTGTAACCCTGGATTCTGAACTCTCCTTTCAGGCCCACATTCAATCCCTGTCCAATCATGCTGTCTCAACCTCCGCAACATCTCCAGAATACGCCCCTTTTTAACCAATGATACCACAAAGCTCCAATTCACTCCCTGGTTATCTCTCACTTCGACTACTGCAACTCCCTCATTGGCTTACCTTTACATAGGCTATTCCCCCTCCAGTCCATCATGAATACTACTGCCAGGCTTATCCAGTTTACCAACCATTCAGTGTCTGCTGCTCCTCTCTGCCAATCCCTCCCACTGACCTCCATTCAGTGTCCTCCACCCCTCTCTGCCAATCCCTCCACTGGCTTCCATTCAGTGTCCTCCACCCCTCTCTGCCAATCCCTCCACTGGCCTCCATTCAGTGTCCTCCACCTCTCTCTGCCAATCCCTCCACTGACCTCTATTCAGTGCCCTCCACCCCTCTCTGCAATCTCTCCACTGGCCTCCATTCAGTGCCCTCCACCCCTCTCTGCCAATCCCTCCACTGGCTTCCACTCGCTCAACGAATAAAATTCAAAATACTAACAACTTACAAAGCCATCCACATCTTTGCCCCCAGCTACATCACCAACCTAGTATCAAAATATCAACCAAACCACTCTCTTCGATCCTCCCAAGACCTTTTGCTCTCTAGTTCCCGTGTCACCTCCCATGCTCGCCTCCAGGACTTCTCCCGAGCTTCTCCCATCCTATGGAACTCCCTACCCCAATCTGTCCGGCTGTCTCCTAATCTATCCACCTTTAGATGATCCCTGAAAACCTATCTCTTTAAAGAAGTCTATCCTGCTTCTACCTAGTAAACCACCATTTATTTCCTCCATCAGCTCCCCCCCCCCCCCACAGCTATTACCTTTTGTATCACTCAACCCTTCCTCCTAGATTGTAACGAGCCGGGCCCTCTGATTCCTTTTGTACCAAATTGTATTGTAACTGTTATGTCTGCCTTCATTTTGCAAAGCGCTGAGCAAACTGTTGGAGCCATATAAATCCTGTATAATAATAAATAATAATAATAAATATGTATATTGGGTTCGAGTAAAAGAGTTAAAAGGCTGTCATTGAGTTGACTCGTTCTTCTCAAGATGGGAACATCTTATGGAAACGAAACTTGTGCTATTGGTGATCATTGCCGTAATGCTTGAGGAACACATGGAATGGACTACTGAGTGGTGTGGTTAGGCCAAGCAGGGGACCTCCTAGGGGATGACATTGACTCAGGGGAGAAACCCATGCCTATAGCACCTCAGTGAGTCTATGCGACCAATAGAAGTAATGATAATCAGCTCAAACACTGGACCAAAGTCCGAAAAGTCTAGTAGCATTTAGAAACAGTCCGGGTGACTTGGATAAGGGGGGGGGTCCATGTGGCACTAAGGGCAAGCTCCATACAGTACTGTAGCAGACTCTGTGTGTAGTAAGAGAGAAGAAGAAGCGCCTCTAAGTGCAGCAGACCACTTTAATATATATATAAAAAGTAGGAACACTCACATGGTAGTAGAGTAATAAAAGCATGTAGGGTATTGTGGTGTAGAAACACCATGTGGAATGGCTGTCACTGGTGCCTGTTTTGTCCGCGTCTCAATGGTAGGGAGCGTGGTTCAGGAGGGAGACAGATGCGGAGCCAGCCGGCATGCACATACTCCTCAAGATGGCGGCTGGAATGCACGCTGAACGGCAACGTAGGCGTTGGCGTGATGATGGCAATGACCAAGCAGCAATGCAACACGTTTCGGAGCATGCGCTGGCCTCTAGTGGCGAAAGCACGCTCCTTTCTCAAGCAGGGGAATGACATGGCAGAAGGACCGTTCCTTTTATAATGGCTAATGTGCCCCAAATGTTTCTCATCACTAACCCACATGTTTTCAATTATGCTAATTGTTATTTCCGAATTGTTGATTGCCAATTAAGGCACATTAGCCATTATAAAAGGAACGGTCCTTCTGCCATGTCATTCCCCTGCTTGAGAAAGGAGCGTGCTTTCGCCACTAGAGGCCAGCGCATGCTCCGAAACGTGTCGCATTGCTGCTTGGTCATTGACGTCATCACGCCTACGCCAACGTTGCGGTTCAGCGTGCGTTCCAGCCGCCATCTTGAGGAGTATGGGCATGCCGGCTGACTCCGCATCTGTCTCCCTCCTGAACCACGCTCCCTACCATTGAGACGCGGACGATACAGGCACCAGTGACAGCCGTTCCACATGGTGTTTCTACACCACAATACCCTACATGCTTTTATTACTCTACTACCATGTGAGTGTTCCTGCTTTTTATTCTGCTGCACTTAGAGGCGCTTCTTCTTCTCTCCAGTCTATGGGACCAGCCTAGGCTGGGCAGAAGTGGGTTAAAGAATACAGGTGCTCCCCCACCACAAGAAGACTACTTTCCAGATCTGGTTGATCCTATATAATACGATATACAGAACAGATGTGCATGCTGGAAGCTCTGAACCATTTCTGCAACCCTATCATTGTTCAGTGAATCACTCAATATGATAAGACTTTGAGTAAGGATTTGTTTGTTGCCCAAGAAGCCATATCTGCCAACATGATGAATGCCATAATCACATAATCACACAAACACATGTTCTATTTGAAGATTAGTTCTAAAAATGTTAGCAATTACAAATTGGAAGAATGTTCCGTCTTCTTTTAAAAGAATATAATATTTTTCCAACCAGAAATCAAGACAACCACAGTATTGAAGCTGAACTCCAGGCAAACAGCTAAATACACAAATATATACAGTGAAGGAAATAAGTATTTGCTCCTCGGCTGATGTTGAATGTTCGCCCCTCACAAAGAAATGATCGGTCTAAAAATCGAATGTTCGGTGTATTGTAACACTGAGAGACAGAATACAACAACAAATTCAGCAGAAATGCGTCTAACAAATGATGACTGATCTGCATGTTCATGAGGGAAAGAAGGATTTGATCCCCTATCATTCAGCAGGATTTCTGGCTCCCAGGTGTCTTTCATACAGGTAACAAGCTGAGATTAGAAGCAGTCTCTTAAAGGGAGTGCTGCTAATCTCATTGTGTTACCTGTATAAAAGACACCTGTCCACAGGAGCCATCAAACCATCAGATTCCAAACTCTCCACCATGGCAAACACCAAAGAGCTGTCCAAGGATGTCAGGGACAAGATGGTAGACCTACACAAGGCTGGACTGGGCTACCAAACTATCGCCAAGCAGCTTAGTGAGAAGGTGACCTTTCAGTTGGTGCAATCATTCACAAATGGAAGAAACACAAAACAAGTGTCAGTCTCCCTAGGTCTGGTGCACCATGCAAGATCTCACCTCGTGGAGTGTCAATGATCATGAGAACAGTGAGGAATCATCCCAGAACTACATGTGAGGATCTTGTCAATGATCTCCAGGCAGCTGGGACCACAGTCACCAAGAAAACAATTGGTAACACACTACGCCGACAAGGACTGAAATCCTGCAGTGCCCGCAAGGTCCCTCTGCTCAAAAAAGCACATGTCCAGGCCCGTCTGAAGTCTGCCACTGAACATCTGAATGATGCGGAGGAGGACTGGTGGGAAGTGTTGTGGTCAGATGAGACCAAAATCCAGCTCTTTGGCATCAACTCAACTCGCCATGTTTGGAGGAGGAGGAATGCTGCCTATGACCCCAAGAACACCATCCCAACTGTGAAACATGGTGGTGGAAACATTCTGCTTTGGGGGTGTTTTTCTGCTAAGGGGACAGGACAACTGCACCGCATCTTCTGACTGGAAGGTGAAAGAGAAGCAGGAGGCTGAAGAGGTCATCCCTAAGCTCATTCCGCTATCCAAATGTTCTTTGTCAGCATATATGTATACCGCACACCTGACTGTCTCCTAATACTGTCCCTCCCTTTCCCAGTTTGTGTGCTTCTGTATAAAGCAGGGGTCTCTGAACCTTTTAAACAAAAGGTCCAGTTTACTGTCTTTCAGGCTTTAGGGGGGCCAGAGTAGTCACTGGAAGTGGACAACGTCTTAAGATTGGTGGTTAGTGGGATTAAAACGATTTCCTAGCATCTGTGGTGAATGGGAGGAGGAATATTGCCCCATTATTGGTGTCAGTGGGAGGAATATTGCCCCATTATTGGTGTTAGTGAGAGGAATAGTGCCCCATCATTGGTGTCAGTGGGAGGAATAGTGCCCCATCATTGGTATCAGTGGGGGGAATAGTGCCCCATCATTGGTATCAGTGGGAGGAATAGTGCTTAATCATTGGTGTTAGTGGGAGGAATAGTGCCCCATCATTGCTATCAGTGGGAGGAATAGTGCCCCATCATTGGTGTCAGTGGGAGGAATAGTGCCCCATCCTTGGTGTCAGTGAGAGGAATAGTGCCCCATCATTGGTGTCAGTGGGAGGAATAGTGCCCCATCATTGGTGTCAGTGGGAGGAATAGTGCCCCATCATTGGTGTCAGTGGGAGGAATAGTGCCCCATCATTGGTATCAGTGGGAGGAATAGTGCCCCATCATTGGTGTCATTGGAAGGAATAGTGCCCCATCATTGGTGTCAGTGAGAGGAATAGTGCCCCATCATTGGTGTCATTGGAAGGAATAGTGCCCCATCAGTGGTGTCATTGGAAGGAATAGTGCTACATTTTTGGCACCAGTGGACTTGGTACGTGGGTAAAAAATAAAGCTGCAAAGAGTGTGAGTGAAGTTCCTTTATAAACTTTGTCTTATCTCTCCACACATGTTTATTCCAGTAGGGTTGTAGAACAACCAAATTATCTTTAGTAAATGTAAGACAGACATCAGTTGTTTATTCTTTGGCGTTTCAGTGGTTTCTTCCTTGGTAACCTCCCATAACCACTACAGTTGTTCATTGTTTTATGGTAGAATCAGGAACACCGACTGTATCAACAGCAAGAAGCATCAGATGCCTGGCTTTTGGTTCAAAGATGTCTTTCACCAATGGTATGCTTTTCTGGCCTGAAGGTTGATGTGACTGATTTGTACTCTTGTAATGACAGTCTACCTAATTTGTTCTTTAGGATTCCATTGATATTTATTTATGAACTCCACATTCGTGATCTCACTTACCACACGTTTGCAATGCAGGGGTACTACTGTTCACTAATATTGTCTCCAGCTGGCAAGCGATAGTAACAGTAGATCACCTAATGGTCCAATGAAAGGTCACCTATCTAACTGTTGGTCCAATGAAAGGTCACCTGTCTAACTGTTGGTCCAATGAAAGGTCACCTGTCCAACTGTTGGTCCAATGAAAGGTCGCCTGTCCAACTGTTGGTCCAATGAAAGGTCGCCTGTCCAACTGTTGGTCCAATGAAAGGTCGCCTGTCCAACTGTTGGTCCAACGAAAGGTCGCCTGTCCAACTGTTGGTCCAACGAAAGGTCGCCTGTCCAACTGTTGGTCCAACGAAAGGTCGCCTGTCCAACTGTTGGTCCAACGAAAGGTCGCCTGTCCAACTGTTGGTCCAACGAAAGGTCGCCTGTCCAACTGTTGGTCCAACGAAAGGTCGCCTGTCCAACTGTTGGTCCAACGAAAGGTCGCCTGTCCAACTGTTGGTCCAACGAAAGGTCGCCTGTCCAACTGTTGGTCCAACGAAAGGTCGCCTGTCCAACTGTTGGTCCAACGAAAGGTCGCCTGTCCAACTGTTGGTCCAACGAAAGGTCGCCTGTCCAACTGTTGGTCCAACGAAAGGTCGCCTGTCCAACTGTTGGTCCAACGAAAGGTCGCCTGTCCAACTGTTGGTCCAACGAAAGGTCGCCTGTCCAACTGTTGGTCCAACGAAAGGTCGCCTGTCCAACTGTTGGTCCAGTGAAAG